CTGACCTCAAACCTGACCTTAAACCTGACCTCAATCCTGACCTCAATCCTGACGTCAAACCTGACCTCAAACTTGACCTCAAACCTGGCCTCAAACCTGACGTCAAACCTGACGTCAAACCTGACGTCAAACCTGACTTCAAACCTGACGTCAAACCTGACCTCGACCTGACGTCGAACCTCACCTCAAACCTGACGTCAAACCTGATGACAAACCTGACGTCAAACCTGACCTCAAAACTTCCCTCAAACCTGACCTCAAACCTGACCTCAAACCTGACGTCAAACCTGACCCCAAACCTGTCATCAAACCTGACCCCAAACCTTACCTCCAACCTGACCTCCAACCTGACGTCAAACCTGATGTCAAACCTGACGTCAAACCTGATGTCCAAACCTGACGTCAGGCCTAACCTCAAACCTGACCTCAAACCTCCCTCAACCTGACGTCAACCTGACTTCAAACCTGACTTCAAACCTGACGTAAAACCTGACCTCAAACCTGACGTCAAACCTGACGTCAAACCTGACGTCAAAACCTTTATGTCGAAACCTGACGTCAAACCTGACGTCATATTTGTTGTCAACCCTGACCTCAAACCTGACCTCTAAATCTGAAGTCAAACCTGACCTCAAACCTGACCTCAAACCTGAACTCAAACCTGCCCTCAAACCTGACCTCAAACCTGACCTCAAAACCTGACGTCAAACCTCACCTCAAACCTGACATCAAACTTTACGTCAAACCTGACCTCAAACCTAAACCTCCAACCTGACCTTCAACCTGACGTCAACACCTGACCCCAAATTTAACCTCAAACCTCCCTCAAACCTGACGTCAAACCTGACCTCAAACTGACCTCCAACCTGACCCTCCAACCTGACGTCAAACCTGACGGCAAACCTGACATCAAACCTGACGTCAACCTGACGTCAAACCTAACGTCAAACCTGACCTCAAACCTCCCTCAAACCTGACATCAAACCTGATGTCAAACGTGACGTCAAACCTGACCTCAAACATGACGTCAAACCTGACCTCAAACCTGACCTGAAAACCTGACGTCAAACCTGACCTCCAACCTTGACGTCAAACCTATCCTCAAACTTGACCTCAAACCTGACCTCAAAACTGAACTCAAACCCTCAAACCTAACCTCAAACCTCCCACAAACCTGACGTCAAACCTGACCCCAAACCTAACCTCCAACCTGACCTCCAACCTGACGTAAAACCTGTCATCAAACCTGACGTCAAACCTAACCTCAACCTGACGTCAAACCTGACATCAAACCTGACCTCAAACCTGACGTAAAACCTGACCTCAAACCTGACGTCAAGCCTGCTGTCAAACCTGACGTCAATTCTGACGTCAAACCTGACGTCAAACCTGACGTCAAACCTGACGTCAAACCTGACGTCAAACCTGACGTCAAACCTGATGTTAAACCTGACGTCAAACCTGACGTCAAACCTGACGTCAAACTTGACTTCAAACCTGACATCAAACCTGACCTCCAACCTGACCTCCAACCTGACGTCAAACCTGACATCAAAACTGACATCAGGCCTGACGTCAAATTTGACGTCAAACCTGACCTCAAACCTCCCTCAAACCTGACGTCAAATCTGACCTCAAACCTGACCTCCAACCTGACCTCCAACCTGATGTCAAACCTGACATCAAACCTGACATCTAATCTGACGTCAAACCTAACGTCAAACCTGACCTCAAACCTGACCTCAAAACGTGACTTCAAACCTGACATCAAACCTGACCTCAAAGCTGACGTCAAACCTGACATCAAACCTGACCTCCAACCTGACGTCAAACCTAACCTCAAACTTGACCTCAAACCTGACCTCAAACCTGACGTCAAAACCTGACGTCAAACCTGACCCCAAACCTCCCTCAAACCTGACGTCAAACCTGACCCCAAACCTGACCCCAAACCTAACCTTCAACCTGACCTCCAACCAGACGTCAAACTTGACGTCAAACCTGACGTCAAACCTAAACCTGACGTCAAAACCTGACCTCAAACCTGACCTCCAACCTGACGTCAAGCCTGACCTCAAGCCTGACCTCAAACCTGACGTCAAACCTGACCTCAAAACCTGACCTCAAACCTAACGTCAAACTTGACGTCAAACCTGACCTTAAAACCTGACATCGAACCTGACCTCAAACCTGACATCAAACCTGACGTCAAACCTGATGTCAAACCTGACCTCAAATCCTCCACTCAAAACCTGACGTCAAACCTGACCTCAAACCTGGCGCCAAACTTGACCTCAAACCTGACCTCAAACCTGACCTCAAACCTGACCTCAAACCTAACGTCAAACTCGACGTCAAACCTGACCTCAAACCTGACATCAAACCTGACGTCAAATCTGACCTCAAACCTGACCTCCAACCTGACCTTCAACCTGACGTCAAATTTGACGTCAAACCTGACCTCAAACCTGACCTCCAACCTGACCTCAACCTGACCTCAAACCTGGCATCAAACTTGACGTCAAACCTGACCTCAAACCTGACCTCAAACTTCCCTTAAACCTGACCTCAAACCTGACGTCAAACCTGACGTCAAACCTGACCCCAAACCTGACCTCCAACCTGACGTCAAACCTCACGTCAAACCTGACCTCAAACCTGACCTTAAACCTTGCCTCAATCCTGACCTCAATCCTGACGTCAAACCTGGCCTCAAACTTGACCTCAAACCTGACCTCAAACCTGACCTCAAACTTGACATCAAACCTGACGTCAAACCTGACCTCGAACCTGACGTCGAACCTCACCTCAAACCTGACGTCAAACCTGATGTCAAACCTGACGTCAAACCTGACCTCAAACTTCCCTCAAACCTGACCTCAAACCTGACCTCAAACCTGACGTCAAACCTGATCCCAAACCTGACCCCGTGATCTCCAACCTGACGTCAAAACCTGACGTCAAACCTGACGTCGAACCTGACCTAAAACCTGACCTCCAACCTGACCTCAAACCTCCCTCAAACCTGACGTCAAACCTGACGTCAAACCTGACATCAAACCTGACCTCCAACCTGACATCAAACCTGACGTCACACCTGACGTCAAACCTGACGTCAAACCTGACGTCCAACCTGACCTCCAACCTGACCTCCCTGACCTCCAACCTGACCTCCAACCTCACATCAAACCCGACCTCAAACCTCCCTCGAACCTGACGTCAAACCTGGCGTAAAACCTGACCTCAAACCTGACCTCAAACCTGACATCAAACCTGACTTCAACCCTGACCTCAAACCTGAGCTCAAACCTAGCCTCAAACCTGACCCTCAAACCTATCCTCAAACCTGACGTCAAACCTGACGTCTAACCGGACCTCAAACCGACCTCAAACCAGACCTCAAATCTGACATCAAACCTGACCTCAAACCTGACCTCAAACCTGACGTCAAACCTGACGTCACACCTGACCTCAAACATCCCTCAAACCTGACCTCCAACTGACTTCAACTCAAATTTACGATTCACTTCAAACCTACTAGTCACCTCAAACCTACTAGTCACATCAAACATACTAGTCACCTCAAACCTACTAGTCACATCAAACCTACTTGTCACCTCGAACCTACTAGTCACCTCAAACCTACTAGTCACCTCAAACCTACTAGTCACTTCAAACCTACTAGTCACATCAAACCTACTAGTCACCTCAACCTACTAGTCACCTCAAACCTACTAGTCACATCAAACCTACTAGTCACCTCGAACCTACTAGTCACCTCGAACCTACTAGTCACCTCAAACCTACTAGTCACCTCAAACCTTCTTGTCACCTCAAACCTACTAGTCACATCAAACCTACTAGTCACCTCAAACCTACTAGTCACATCAAACCTACTAGTCACCTCAAACCTACTAGTCACCTCAAACCTACTATTCACGTCAAACCTACTAGTCACCTCGAACCTACTCGTCACCTCAAACCTACTATTCACCTCAAACCTACTAGTCACCTCGAACCTACTAGTCACCTCAAACCTACTAGTCACCTCGAACCTACTAGTCCCATCAAACCTACGAGTCAACTCTAACCGATGAGCCTCCCACTCAACTTATACTACACCAATGAGCGTCCCACTCAACTCATGCTGGACCGGTGAGCCTCATACTCAACTTATGCTGCACCAGTGAGCCCCCTACTCAACTAATGCTGCCTGAGGTGAGTCAATGCCATGCGGTGGCGATGTGAAGTGAATTGGCACCATGCGGTGTAGATGTGAGGGTGTGTCGACAGCATGTTGTGGAGATGTGAGGTGAGTTGACACTATGAGGTGGCGATGTGAGGTGATTCGACGCCATGGGGTGCAGATGTGAGGCGAATCGACGCCATGGGGTGCAGATGTGAGGCGAGTCGACGCCATGGGTTGCAGATATGAGGTGAGTCGGCACCATGCGGTGAAGATGTGAGGTAACAGCCGTGGGTGTTCTAATGTGTGAGCACCACATTCTCTATAGCTGCCATTAATTCCAGCCCTGGGTGCACTGAGGGGCAGGTGTATTGGGTTGGAGCTGGTAGCGTTGCTGTTGGCTTCCATGATGCGTGCGCGTAGGGTTAGCATTGCCTTTGCTAACACTGCTGGTCCAATGCATGAGACATGCCACGTGACGGGGGAAGATGGTACACGCCAAACATTGCACTTTTGCCTGCTGGCTCTGAAAGTTGCATCCCACACGATGATGCAAAGTAACACCACACCATCCCTGGTATTTTTTTTCCCCAGGTTGTAACATGTTTCTGACAAATCTAATTTTGAACAAAACAATCTCACTGTACACGCTGGTCTGCTACATTACAGTCTGTTCCATTACCAGGTGCGGTACTACTGGTGTACACCACACACCACGCCTCTCGGAGCTCATCCTCCATTGTTTCTGCAAGTGACTGCAGCAGCGGTAGCCGGTTTTTGAGTTGACAGCAAGAAATTGTGCACACCACGCTTGTCACAGCTTATCCTCCTCCACGGGGTCAGCTAGTGATTGCAGCAGCAGCCAGTTGCAGCGCAGGTACACCGGCTCCCACCAGTACTCCAGCAGCAACCTGTGCACCCACGGTAGCCGCTCCAAAAACTTCTCAGGCTTGCCCGGACTTGCCCACCTGGGATGGGGGCAGTGGGGGCGAAGAGATGTGATATGCGGAAGGCCAGGCCAGGATGTTGAGAGGAAAAGGTTTAAGCATGCAGTGAAGCGGGTGGGTTGAAGGAAGTATAAATGGGGGCAGTCGAAAAGGGGGCCGGGAGGAGATGGGAGAGACACACACGTGTATGCATGTGTGCGCACACACGAGCACACATGCAAGCACATATGCAATCTTGCAAACCACATGCACACACACATGCATGAACGCTGCGCATGCACACATGCACACACATGCCACATGCACGCATGTGCATGCGCACACATGCCCGTGCATGCACTTGCATCCCACCAACCGTCCGCACTGAAGCAGCACACAGCCTACCTCTCGAGACCATGGAAGATCCAGGGAAGGCGAGTGGAAGCGAGGAAGAATCCCACGTGGCTTTCCGCCTCCACCAGAATGCTCTCTGCCTCCGTGGGCATGAACGCATGCCGCACCCTCGCTGGTGGTTGGGGAGATGCAGAAGGGGTGGGAAGGGGAGGAGAGGAGAGAATTGGAGAGGAGAGGAGAGGAGAGGAGAGGAGAGGAGAGGAGAGGAGAGGACAGGAGAGGACAGGAAGGGAGACAACGGAGGAGGACTGAGGGGCAGGAAGGGGGGAGAACGAACTAGGAAATCATTGCACTGACTGCAAATTCAGAACCATCTCACTGTGCAAGCCTTATTGCAGTACTCGTTCCACCTGTACCAGCCTGAACCACCAGAACAAACCCACTCAGTATCTAACCATACACTCCTTGCGCCATCCACTCCATTCCGCCATCTAACCATTCAGGTGTCCACCCCGACCCGTTCAACACCATACGAACTACTGTTGTTCCGTATAATGACAGCATGGCAGTGGTGTTTGAACTTTAAAAAGCTTCTTCTTCCTTTGACCTTCCTCTGCCTTTCCTCCACCTTCCTACTACCCCTCCCCATCCTCCCCCCTCATCCTTCCCCACCACGTCACGTACAAGGGTAGAAGTCCATTTCAGCATCGAATTGCCGGTGGAAAGATGCGCGACAGCTGAGTCAGCTTCTGCCGCAACACCTCTGAGGGACCGAGGGAGGATGATGAGGCAGGTGAAGCGACATGGGGGAAAGGGGCAGGTGAGGGCGGTTGGGGATAGATAAGAGGGAAGTATGACCAAACAACAGGAAGTCAAGACGTACAAGCCACACGCACAGCAAACTGCCTGTTTGATTCCCCCTGGCGCAACGCCGCCAATGCTTCTCCTTCCTTCGCCTTCGTGTTCCTTCCCCGCACCCCTCCCTCCCTCCCTCCCCTCTCCCTCCCTCCCTCCCTCCCTCCCTCCTCCCTCCCTCCCTCCCTCCCTCCCTCCCTCCCTCCCTCCCTCCCTCCCTCCCTCCCTCCCTCCCTCCCTCCCTCCCTCCCTCCCTCCCTCCCTCCCTCCCTCCCTCCCTCCCTCCCTCCCTCCCTCCCTCCCTCCCTCCCTCCCTCCCCTCCCTCCCTCCCTCCCTCCCTCCCTCCCTCCCTCCCTCCTCCCTCCCTCCCTCCCTCCCTCCCTCCCTCCCTCCCTCCCTCCCTCCCTCCCTCCCTCCCTCCCTCCCTCCCTCCCTCCCTCCCTCCCTCCCTCCCTCCCTCCCTCCCTCCCTCCCTCCTCCCTCCCTCCCTCCCTCCCTCCCTCCCTCCCTCCCTCCCTCCCTCCCTCCCTCCCTCCCTCCCTCCCCTCCTCCCTCCCTCCCTCCCTCCCTCCCTCCCTCCCTCCCTCCCTCCCTCCCTCCCTCCCTCCCTCCCTCCCTCCCTCCCTCCCTCCCTCCCTCCCTCCCTCCCTCCCTTCCCACAAAGCCCTCGAAGCAAGGCACGCACCAGCGACGTTGGGGCGGTCGTCCATCTGCGCGTGGTCAAAGTCAGCGCGCATGTGCTTCACCTCGTCCATCAGCTCTATGGCCTGGAACAGCGGCGCTGATACCTCGTTCGGGGGCCGCTCTGAGAGGTAGACGGAGGAAAGGGGAGGATCGGGGAGAGGGGGAGGGGGAGGGGGGGGGGGGGGGTGTGGGGTGTATGCGGAGAGGATTTGACGAGAGAGAGTCCTGGAAATCTGACCTGTAGAGCACATATGTGTGCGCTCAAGTGTGCATCTGTGTGTGTGTGTTCCTATGATGGCAGACACGCCTTTATCAACCACCTGTGGGCTTCCAGTGACTCTGCAAGGGACCCTAAGCACCTGCCCGCCTTTGGACCTACCCTTTACAACAGTGAGCAGTCCTGGCCTCGCTTGCAACCATGCATCCGTGCACCCTTGCACCCTGCACATCACCACTTTCCGCCCCACCTTTGATTCTCTCGGTAAGGGCGGGCAGAAGCAGCTTGTCACGGTGTTCCAGATGGGAGCGCACGAGAGGGTAGAAGCAGCTGTCGAACCACGAGTAGAAGATCGCCACCTGGCACAGGATGACGCGTGGTGGTCGTGATGGTGACACAACAAGAATACGAGCATCGTCTGTGTGAATGGGTGTGTGAATAATCTCTGAGCCATGTAAGCGAGGCTGTACTTCACCCTATCCCAACCCACTCTGCCCCAACCCACCTCACCTCATCTCACCTCACCTCACCTCACCTCATCTTCCCCCAACTCCCGGCTCGCCCTGTGCGGGATGATCGGGGCATGTGGCAAGACTGGGCAGGTGGGAGGGCGGGAGGGGCGCACCTTGGCGGACGGGGGGGGCACCTTGGCGGGCGGGTGGGTGGGCGCACCTTGGCGGGCGGGTGGGTGGGCGCACCTTGGCGGGCGGGTGGGTGGGCGCACCTTGGCGGGCGGGTGGGTGGGCGCACCTTGGCGGGGCGGGTGGGTGGGCGCACCTTGGCGGGCGGAGGGGCGCACCTTGGCGGGCAGGGGGGCGCACCTTGGCGGGCGGAGGGGCGCACCTTGGCGGGTAGGGGGGCGCACCTTGGCGGGCTCGCCGTTGAAGTTGGGCTCTGCCAGGTGCCGCTCCATCTCCTCCAGGTCCCACTTTATCGGCTCCTGCCCCTGCTCGCACACGCCCCCGCCGCCGCCGCCGCCGCCGCCGCCGCCGGGCATGGAAGGAATGCGCACCACGCACGCAAGGCACGCAATACACGCAATGCACGGAATGCATGGATTGCGCAGAGAGAATGGGGGATTGTGTGGGTGAGGAGTTGGCACGCACGCACACGCAGTGATTGGCGTGGAATGGAGGTGAATTTGATGGCAGTTGCAGCGAGTGAGCGAGCACGGCTTCCGAAGGTCGCAGTGTCGCATGACGAGTTGAAACAACACAAAAACTTCACACAACGAGGCGGCTCGGAAGGGCGGGGTCGCAGTGAGGGAACAGGGGAAAATGGGAGGAGGGTAGAGAGGGTAGAGAGGGACGCACCATGAGTAATATCTCGTCCGCCCAGTCGTCTGCGATGCGACGTGCGATGCATGCGACACACAAAACACATGCGCGGGAGCAATGGGCGGGAAAAGATTGTTAGGGGATAAACGGGTGCGGAAAAAGTGGATATGGAACTTTGGACAATGGGTAGGACAATGGGGCCGAGGAGGAAGCATTGCTTGAACGTAAATTCTGCCTGAAAGAAATGGGGGACAAGAGCGTCTAGAATAGATAGGGCGTGCGGCAAAAACGGCCGGGTTTCGTATCGTACAGTGTTGGACAGTGAGCAGTCGCTCGACGGATGACGATATCGCCATCAGGCAAACGGTTGTCGCATGAACCTGCTGCTACTTGTCAGCGTCGCACACGGTTCGTAACGCCGAGAAGGGCTAATTTGTTCAGAGTCGAGTCTTCGTGTCGTTCGCTGTTCGACAAAAAATACGACAGCACTGATAGAGACGGCTAGAGCAAAGAAACGCAATCGAGGATTATGCGGACACGCTAAGAGGGCTAACCAAGGGGGTTCAATTAATGTAATATATAAGCGCAGTGACGTTCTTCGCACCCATGTATCATCGGCAGGGCTCGAAATCTACTAACTGAGGCGGTAAGAATAAACGGAGTGGATATAGACTGAGGTTGCACGATTGCAAGATTCCAGACCAGGGGATGAATGTCCAGCAATGGAAAATGGAGCCTCTACGTATCACTCCTACCTACCTAGAAAATGCCGCACATGAATGGCGACGATGTAAGGGGGGCATACGCGTTATCACAAAACCCAGCACGGCAGAAACTCGTGAGGAGCTGTGTTCTGCTTGCGGATGGGTGTGTACACAATAGAGCGCTCTGCAGTTGTGCACGTGAAACGTCGACTGGCCAATCAGACAAAAGCACTCTATGGTGCGCACTGTACCCTTGCTACCTTGTCAAAAATGCGTCACCATCGCGTCACCCCCAGCAGTATCCACGTGAGCTACAAAGCCATGTTTCCTGAAAGATGTGGTGCAGAATCCAACAGCTGACTAACCAGCAATGCTGTAAGAGAAAATGAATACTTCTTACATAAAATCTCCATATAATAATAAGTCACATGCTAAAAAGGCAACTGACTGCGTATAAATGGAGCATGGAACAATTTCTCCACGCTACCATGACTTTGTGCAGAACAATTATGAAGCACAGCTATACCCTTGCTACCTCCGCGTGCTTGCCATCCACACACCTATGGTCGACGTGAAGCTCCCCTAAAATTTCATGCACTGCTGTCTGTCGCTATAGTGTAATTGCTTGGTGGTCCTAACACCTAATAGCCAGCTCGAATACTGTGCAGTCTGTCAGGCGAGCACCACATGACATAAGCATTAACGAATGTGAGACCGCAGCAACGAGCAGCGTGCAGAGGCAACACCGTCTTCATCACATGCCGCAACACCCCCTCCTCCTCCCCCAATGCGCCTCTCACATCCTCTTCCCCCACCCTTCCCTCCCTTCTTATCTCCATCGGGGTCCCCAAATGCATTCCAGAATCGCAGCGTCTCATCAGCAGCAGCTGAGACCACTGTGTACCCATCCGGACTCTGGCAAGAGGTGAGCGAGTGCCCAGTGAGAGAAAGGGAGAGAGATATGACGAGTTATATGCCAGCTCAGGTGCTACTACAACCTTCTTGGACAATTTCGGTGATACATACACAACAGTCTGATTTTTCCAGCAACTGAAACATGGTGGGGGTTGAGTTTCATCTGCAGAACTAAGTGGTTGGCAAGTGGCAGTTACCTGGGCAAGGTGCAGCACGCGAGCGGTATGGCCGGTGAACTCAGCGAGTTTGGCCATGGAGGGGTAGCGCCAGAGGCACAGCTGGTTCAGGCTGTACCCGTGCGACGACAGGATCTCCTTCTCATGCCGACTCCACTCCAGCGCACACACCTGCCACGCGCAGCAAGGAGAGCGCACACACAGGCGTGAGGAGAAGGCGAGGGGAAGATGGGAGGGGAGGGTGGGGAGGGGGAGGAGGAGGGAAGAGAGGGGAGTGTTTAAGAGTTGAAGCAAGTGGCTTGGAGCTAGGCAAGAGGGGGGGTGGGGGAGAGGGGGAGGGGGGGAGAAGACAGATAACAGCAAGGTGGTTGAGAATGCTAGGATGTGGTGGTGTGATATTACCAGGGAGGAGAGTGGGCGGGAAGAATATAGCGGGTGTAGAGAGCGGAGAAACAGCCATGGGAAGAGAAACATACGAGCGGAAGAGCAGCAGTGCAGGAGGAGAGAGGGGAGGAGGGGAGGAGGGGGGGGGGGGGGGGGGGGGAGGGTGGGAGGGGTGGGTATAGACCTGTGAGTGGGTGTCGATGGAGTGGGTGAGCGCCCCTGTCTGTGTGTTCCAGAACTTGATGCACCGGTCTGCTGTGCCCCCGCCTGATGCCAGCAGGTGGCTCTGGAAGGGACACCACGCCAGCGCCTTCACCGCCGCCTGGTGCGCTGTCAGCCGGTGCAGGTAGCGCACTGTGGGGGGGAAAGGGGGGACCGAGAGCAGTGAGCAGTGAGGACACGGGGAGTGCAGGGGGGAAAGCGGTGCGAATGTGGGGGATCGTTGGGGAGAGTCGGGCGGAACAGGGGAGCATTGTGGGGAGAAGCAGGGAAAAGGGTCACGAGGGGGGGAGCAGGAGGGAGGAGAACGTGGGAGGGCTAGCGCCATGGTAGGAACATGGATACATGGAGGGGGACGTAGAGTAGAGCAGTGGTGGGGTGGAAGGACAGACGGAGAGTTAGCCGTTATGTGGTGATGGGGAAACGCTGCAACGGGAGCGGTGATGCGTACCGTTGTTGGGAGACGCCCTGCTTCTGTGCGAGGAGAGGGACGGTGCTAACGAGGATGCGCGGGGGGAGGAGGAGGCGGAGGGGGAGGAGGACAGGGATGGCGGCGGAGGCGATGAGGATGAGGTGGTTAGAGACAGAAACGAATGACCCGCAGCAGCAGCAGCAGCTGCTGCAGCAGTGCCAGCGCCACCTGTTGCTGCATGGGCAGAATCAGCGGCAGGAGCGGTGGCAGTTGTGGCAGCAGGCATGGTGGGGTGAGACGGCGCGAATGAGAGAGAGGAATGCGGAGAGGCGAAAGGAGAGGCGTAGGGCGACGGGGAGGAGGCGAGGAGGGAAGCGAGAGATGCGGCGGATGGGAGGGAGGAGGAGGAGGAGGAGGAGGAGGCGAGAGACGCTATGAGAGACGAGCCGGTGAATGGAGAAGCGGCAGCGGCGGCTGTGGCGGAGGAAAATGAGGCGAAGGGGGAGAAAGAAGCGGAGGAATGGAGTAGCGGAGGTAAGGAGGAGGAGGAGGCGGAGAGGGAGGAGAGCGAGGAGGAGAAAGAGGAGGAGAGGGAGGAATGGAAAGAGGAATTTCCTGAGGTAGGGAAGGACGAGGAGGAGGAGAAAGAGGAGGTGGAGGAGGAGGAAATGGCAGCGTTGTCCCAGATGTAGAGAAGGTTGTCGTTGCCGCCGCTCGCCAGGTGCTGCCCGGAGCGCGACCACTTGAGTCCGCACACCTCCTGCTCGTGCGCGCGCAATGCGCTCACCACGTGGTCGCGCACCCGCACTGCCGCGCGAGGGGGCAGAATTGAGGGAAGAAGGATAAGGACAAAGCGGGAGGGAAGCGCGGAGAGCCAAGCCCAGGCATCGCTGGACGGACTGATCTGTTACGCAGGATCATCTGTTGAGCGGACGGCACTCACCATCGTGGTTGAGAATGCTGCTATCGCGGCTCCCCGACGACAGCGTGTGGCCGTTCCACGCGAGGCTGCCCACGCGCGCGCGGTGCCCCTGCAGCCGCCGCACTTGCCGCAAGCGACTCGCATCCCAGATCTGCAGTTCGCTGCTGTTCAACCCCACGGCCAGGTGCCGCCCGTCCTTGGCCCACGCGACGCTCGTGACGTAGTCGTCGGGCCCGTCCGCGTGCACGAGCTGGTGTATGTCGCCCGACGTCGCAGACCAGAGGTACACCGTCGTGCCGAGCGCGACGGCGATCTGATTCTGCGACGACCAGTCGAGCAGGTTGAGATAGTAGTCGTCGACTATCTCCGGCGCGTCGAGTATGCGCTCCGACGCCTGCCGGGAGGGGAGGGGCAGGGGGAGAGGGGGAAGCGGGGAGAGGGGTGGGAAGTGGGAGAGAGGTTGGGGGGAGGGGATACGCGAGAGATGGGAGAGATGGGGGAGACGCAAGGACACGGAGTTGGCGAATGACGAACAGAAGGAGGAAACGATGATGGCGGAGAGATGGAATCGAAGAGCAACGGGTCAAAACATTGAGACGTCTCAAACTCACAGTTTGAAAAACAGTGTTAGAGAGATCGGGGAAAACGAAGGGCGGGCGGAATGCACGCGACTGACAGACATACTGACTGACAGACGGATCGATGACGGATATAGAATCAGCCGCCCGATACTCACGAGGGATATTTGTCTTAATCTCCTCGCCAGTGTGCTGGAGGGCGACTCGGGGAGAAGCACGGGACCCAGAAGTGGAAGATTCGTCGCGCGTTCCGTGAGCAAGCTGGTGCTGCTGCCGCCGCCCGAATCCGAACCGAAAAACGCAAAGATCTTCCGCCCAACCGGGGAACCCTCCCCCGAGTCTTCACTACCTAACCCCGCTCCGCCAGCACCCCTGCCGCTTGCGCTTCCGCTTCCGCACATACTCCCCCC